CAAAGTGACCAAACTTCTTTAGAACTTTCTCCACATAATGAGATTGAGTAAGTGAATACCCATTTGGCTCTCTTTTAATTCTAATTCCAAGAATTACATCAGCCAATCCCATGTCTTTCATTTCAAAATTGTCACTCAACATCTTCTTTGTGGCATTGATAATGTCTTTACTTGTTCCCATTATTAACATATCATCCACATAAAGACATACAATGATCGTATCCTTTTTAGTTTCCTTAACGTAGACACACTTGTCACATTCATTTATTTTAAAACCATACGATCTCATTGTATTATCAAACTTCTCATGCCACTGTTTTGGCGCTTGCTTAAGTCCATACAAAGACTTTTTAAGCTTACAAACTTTATTCTCTTTCCCTTTGACTATAAATCCTTCGGGTTGTTCCATATATATTTCTTCATCAAGTTCACCATTTAGGAATGCTGTTTTAACATCCATTTGATGAATTTCTAGATCATATATGGCCGAAATTGCGATTAGATATCTTATCGAAGTGATTCTAGTCACCGGAGAATACGTATCAAAGAAATCAAGACCTTCTTTTTGACGAAACCCTTTCGCCACTAGTCTTGCTTTATATTTTTCAATCGTACCATCCGGTCTCAAATTCTTTGTGAAGATCCATTTATGTCCAATTAGTTTATTACCAGGTGGTAAATCAACCAATTCCCATGTATGATTTCTCAAAATGGATTCAACTTCACTTTGAATAGCCTCTTTCCAATAAGGTGCATTTGATGATTCAATTGCAGCCTTATACGTTTGAGGATTCGTATTCACTCAAGTACGTCATAAAGTCCGTGCCAAAATCTTTAGCAACTCTTGCTCTTTTACTTCTTCTTGGTTCATTTTCTTCTTCTTGAACCTTTGAGGCACATTCATTGTCCTCACATACCCGTTTAGTACTTGTTTCTCTAGGCTCTTTGTATGGAAACACACTTTCAAAAAACTCAGCCTCATTAGATTCAATGATCGTATTTACCTTTACCTCAACATTATTAGATTTATGTACTAAAAATCTATAAGCTGCACTATTTTCCGCAGGACCGATGTAAACGCAATCCACCGTTTTTGGTCCTATAATAGTTCTTTTTGGTAAAGGTATTTGAACCTTTGCAAGACAACCCCACACTTTAATATTTTTATATGAAGGAGTCTTCTCTTTCCACATCTCATATGGAGTTTTATCACTCTTCTTGTGAGGAATCTTATTCAAAATTGAATTAGCCGTGAGAATGGCTTCACCCCATAGGTTAGGTGGTGCACCCGAATCGTTTAACATGGAATTCATCATCTCTTTAAGCGTTCTATTTTTCCTTTCGGCAACTCCGTTCTGCATCGGAGTGTAAGGTGCCATAGTTTGATGAATGATTCCATGTGTGGAACAAAAATCTGAGAATTCATTTGATTTGTATTCTCCACCACGATCTGATCGGAGAATTTTTATTCTCTTATCTAATTGATTTTCAACTTCTGCTTTGAATTTCTTAAACATATTCAAAGCCTCATCTTTAGTATTAATCAAATAGATTTGACAATACTTGCTGAAATCATCAATAAAAGATATATAATAATTGTTTCCTCCACGGCTTGGAATTGATTGAAAATCACACAAGTCACTATGTATTAAACCAAGTAATACATTTGACTTTTCCACAGATTTATAAGAATGTCGTGAATATTTTGATTCCACACAAACTTCACATTTGCTTCTTTTATTATTATTAAGATTGTTCTTTGGTAACAATCCTAAATTCATCATTCGATATAAAGAATGATAATTGACATGTCCCATTCTTGCATGCCATAAATCATTTGAGTCAAGCAAATAAACAGAAGCAGTGCTATTGCCTGCGTTTTCATTAACGATCGGTACAACATTCAGTTTGAAAAGACCATCACACAAGTAGCCTTTTCCTACATACATCCCACCTTTAGTGAGTACAACCTTATCAGATTCAAATACAATCTTAAAGCCTTTGTTGCTAAGAAGTGACCCCGAAATCAGATTCTTTCGAATCTCAGGGACATGGAGCACGTTTGTGAGTGCAAGTTCCTTCCCAGATGTGAGTTTTAAAACCACTTTGCCTTTCCCTGCGATCGTCGCGGTGCTCGCGTTTCCCATGTAAAGCTTTTCTCCACCAGAACCTTGTTCATACGTGGAGAACATACTCACGTCGGAGCACACAGGCTTTGTAGCACCAGTGTCAACCCACCAATCATTGGAGTTTGTCATCATGTTTGCCTCGGAAACGACCGCAACAAACTGATTTTCGACAAGGTTTGCGTTGCTTGCGTCTCGAACCGATGTCCCTTCTTTCTTATGGCGGCAGTCCTTGGCTCTATGTCCAGGCTTTCCACACAGCCAACAAGCACCTTGTGGCTTCCTCTTGAAGTTAGAGCCCTTAGGTGGATTGAACGGTTTCTTACCGTTCTTGTTCTTCTTAAAGCCCTTGGATTTGGAGTTGTTTCCCTCAATTACATTGGCCTTTGCTTCCATAGAAGAAAACTCAGATTTCTCATTCTTACGATTTTCTTCTTCAACACGAAGCTTGAGAATTAGTTGCTCGAAACTCATGTCTTCATGTAGGTGCTTTAGATAGATCTTGAAATCTTTCCACGTTGGAGGCAACTTTTCGATGATGGACGCAACAAGAAACGCCTCATTCAGCCCCATACCTTCATCTTTCAATTCATGAGCAAAAATCTGAATTTCTTCCACTTGTTTCACCACAGAGATGGTGTCAGAGCATCTCCAATGGTGAGAGCCCTTCATGGGCTCTCACCATTTTTTTAAGAATAAAATTTTCAAATTTATGAGATGAAAGCTTTTGTTAAAATTTTTTTATTTTGCAAAGTCCAATGGTAGGCTCTCTTTATGGGGTTCTCAAGAAAAAATTAAATTATTTTTTTAATTATTTTATTTCATAAAACTGAAAAATATTACAATTCATAACATATTAAACATACATTTGAAAATAAATTTACAAAAAAAAAAACGATTAGTTATTCTGTTGATTGTTGCGAAATTTTTTCCATATATGCTCAACCAAATCACTTTTCAATTGTTGATGCATATTTTGATCACGAAGTTGATTTCGCATGCCCATCATATTCTCGAGATTTGGAGGCATACCTGTAGAATACGATAAATCGACTTGTGAAGTTTTGTTTCCTTCAACTTGTAAGAATTCTGAAACATCAAACTAAGTGTTGTACCCATCTCGTTCGTCTTCGACTATCATATTGTGCAGTATAAGTCTAACCGGAAAACCGAAAAAGTATGGACTAACAAAAATACAAAATCATTGTATAACCATTTTGAACCGAAAGTTAATGTGTGGGTCTAGCGAGCGACTAGCAACCGTAAAAAGGCCCATCAATAAAAAAGAAAAAAATCAAACCGGCCGGCAACACGCTCACGGCGTAGATACGTGGTCGACGCGCGCATAATCACAGATCAGAATTATTCTTCCCAAGTTCACACGGAAGATTTGGATCGAAAGAGAGCGAAAGAAAGAGGGGAATAATGGCATTGCAATGGCTGATTCTGTCGTATGTGGTCGCCGCCGAGGTCGCGATCGCCGTCATCTTGACTCTCCCTTACCCAATGCTCCTGAAGAAACGCATTGTATCACTTGTCTCGCTCATACTCAATCCTGCCGCTTCAATCGTCGCCATCACCATCGCCAACGCCAAAGAAAGAAAGAGAGAGCTTTTGTTTTTTTTCTTGCGTTTTTTTTTCTTTCTTTTGTCAAAAAATCGACCAATAGGGGACTGCCACGTCATCAGCTCTCTTGCATTCCAAAACCTCTCACAAGAGAGAGAGCTCTCTTCATAAATCATGATTTATATTTATTTTTGAAATTTTTTTTGAAGAGAACCTTTGAAGAGAACCCAATATTGTGGCCATTGGAGATGCTCTCACTCATCTTGAAATTCAAAAATTTTCCCACAATGAATTTCTTGGCACTTGCAACTTCAGACTTGTATTTCTTCTCTAATGATTCCCACAACTGTTTTGGAGTTTGGAAAATCTGATAAACATCATAGAGAGAATCATCCAAGGCATTAAGAATGTAGTTTTTGCACAAAAACTCATTCTGTGACCATGTCTCTATGCTTTGATGACTTCATCCGGAATGTCTCCTTCAACAGGTAATTCCGGTGCATCGGAAGTCAAGTATTGTGCCAGATTCAAAGTTGTGAGATAGATCATCATCTTTTGCTGCCATCTTTTGAAATCCACTCCTTTGAAAACAAAAGGCTTCTCAATGTGATTTTTCACATTCCCAGCAGATTGATCCATCTATCAATTTCAAAACAACAATTAAATTGTGTCTTAGATTAATGATGGAAGAACGGTTGAATATTAGTTTTTATCGACAGCGTGAGGGAAGGCAACGATTTTGTCCCGATGATGATGGGGAACGTGGACATTTGTTATTGGCTCTAATACATTTTGTTTTTGTTTTTTTTTTTTACAATTTTAATTAAAAATCGGTTTAATGGTTTAGTTTGTCTCGGTTTGATAATGAAAAACTAGGGTATTGATATATACTATTTTTAAATCTTAAATATAATTTTTATTAACTGGCCAATCAAATGGGCTAAGGTCCGAGAAATACAAAAACCTTACAGTTACAAAAACGGATAAAGAAAATCCGGCGACCGACACAGAGATCGAGGTTATATCTGGACGATGGACAGAGGTGAAAAATCCGATCTACGAATGTCTTGCCTTTCGTTCGGGTGTTGATATTTCATTAACAATGAAAGAGTAAATCAATACAATAAAAACAGTAAGGATCTCTCCAGACCTGACACCTCAGCATTTTGGGCTGTTCTCAAGTTGACACCTCATTAAAATCGTTATCCAATGAGAACATTTCGATTAATACAACTCAGATTTTTCAGCCAATAAAAATCTTCTTCCTTTCCACGTCACATTATCTCCCTCAGAAGCCCTAGCCGCTATGTCAAAATCAAGATTACGAAAGCTTTCAACTTCTTTCTCGAATCGATCAGTGGTTTTTCGAATTGAAGATTAAAGATGAAGTAGAAGAAAAATTTGATTAGTGGTTGACTGCAACAACAATACCAACTGATCAGTATGTACACCAAGTCTTTTGTTGTAAGTATCATGTTTAGATTTGTGTACATATTAATTTGGAAAGCTAGAGTACTTCCGGTGGAAATTCAATTACATTACTTCCATCCTCCACTTAGATTAGTTTCAATGCATGAAATCCCTAATTAATCATCTGCTTTGTGTTTTTGGGAAGGGAAGATGCATTATAGTTAAGTCTTACGATCTACATACTCTTTGTGGATGTGAGGTTAATTTCAATTGAGGGATGATGTAAACTGTAGTCACTTAGCTTTCTTAGCTGGACTTATGTTTCATTTTAGTATTTAGAGAAAAAGAATCATCTTTCATTTGTTAGTTTATTTCACAAATGAAATCAGCAGAGGAGAGGTGAATGATATTTTAGACCTCTATCGTCTTAATAAAAAGCTATGGCTGAAATTAATAAACTTAAATTTATATGGATAATTCAGCTCATTTTCTTTGTCCCAGATCATGAACCTAATTAGTCAAGATGATGCTTATCTATACAAAGAGTTTCGTGACAATTATTCTAAACAAATGCAAGACTTTTAGAAACTCTAAAGCGTTTAGAGTCTCTGCAACTTTAGCTTCAAAAACCATTTCAGTTTCAACAAATATACATTGGATGCACAACCATTTCTTGTTATATAAATTCTTAGCGTTTATGAGTTTTTTGGTTCAAGTGTTTGTGTTCTGTTTGTTAATGCAATTATTAAGTCTTTGTTAGCTGCTGAAAACTTTGAGATCTCATATGAATCTATGTGTGGCATCTTAAGCTTAAAAATACAGGATTTGCTATCTGAATTATTTATTAACATATTGGTCCTCTTACTATGAATGTACATGATCTGAAATTTATATTCTTTTTGAGCATTTGACTATGCAGGAAGCATCAGATAACAACTGTGTTTACAGAAACGAGGATATCAAATTGAGCACAAAATTAAGCTTAAAAATACAGGATTTGCTATCTGAATTATTTATTAACATATTGGTCCTCTTACTATGAATGTACATGATCTGAAATTTATATTCTTTTTGAGCATTTGACTATGCAGGAAGCATCAGATAACAACTGTGTTTACAGAAACGAGGATATCAAATTGAGCACAAAAATTCTTAAATAGGCTCCAAATTATCCAAAAAAATAAAGAGAAGAGTGAGACTGTGACTCAATGCCTATGAGAGACAAAAAAAAAAAAGGTGAAACTCCAAGGAGAAGACAAAAGTTTTATGGTAACTGGTTATAGAGTAAGCATAAAGGGTCGGTCAACAAAGTCCACCTAATGATATGATCCTTGTATTTGAGTGCCCCTTCAATTGGTCAATGATTTTGGTACATTTGGCTTAACAAATTTGGTTTAGACAAAGAATGCTCAAGAGATTAGATAAGGATATATGGAATGTGAGTAAAAAACATTCACCTCATACAGTCTTTCCTCGTAAAGCCACTTGATGCCAAAAAAACTTCTTCAAAATGTTTAGGTGTTCAATAAAATTTTCAAATAATATGATTTAATTATTACAAATTATATTTTTACTAAAAAAAAATTATCCAAAAAAATATCCCGCGGCATAGCGCGGGTTTCGTTCTAGTGAGATTAAAAGAGAATGGTTTGTCTCCATCTGGAAGGCTCCCTTTTGAGTTTTTGACTCCTCTTATCGGTTCAAGGCTTCCGGTTTAATATGTCAACTAAATTCCGGTTTTATTGAATTTGGTTTAGAGATTTCCGGTTTGATGATAAAGGATAAGCTAAACCCTGATTCCAATTTTTCGCCGGCCGGAATTTCCAGACAAAAGGGAAAGATTTCAACTTCCCGGGGAGAATAAAATCCTTAATGGCTACGAACGGGTACTGTTTCGAAACTACGAAGTTTTTTTTTTTTTTGAATGAAAAAACTACGAAGTTTACGTTTTGAATTTTGGCTTTGATTGGTGGAGATGATCTTTAACTCTCTAAGAGAATCTACTTAAACTGAACGTTTTGATCACACAGGTTAATGGCGTCTTTCAAGAGCCCAGGAAATTCGCGTATCGCATTTGCTTCTAGAACGAATCAGACTGCAGGAAATGGCGGTGAAGGTCGTGTTAGGTTCCCGGGCGTTGGGACACGTCGTCTTTCCGGTGGTTTTATCTATGAAGGCGACGGCAGATTCCGGTGAGGAGGCCGTGAAATCTGTGTTGCTTGGAAATGGCAGATCGCGACGGCTTTTGAAGAGCTCTATGGTCCTGCGTATAGTGGTGAGAGTATGCTTGAGAAAGACATTTATGTGATGGATTCGAAGCATAAGAAGAGTTCAGGTATTGGTGGGAAGCTGAAGAAAGATAAGATTAGAGATGGGTTTGAACTTTGAAGAGAGAGTTGTGCAAGTTAGGAGAGTGACTAAGGTTGTTAAAGGTGGGAAGCAATTGAAGTTTAGAGCTATTGTTGTTGTTGGTGATAAACAGGGGAATGTTCGTGTTGGTTGTGCTAAGGCTAAAGAAGTTGTTGCTGCTGTTCAGAAATCTGCCATTGATGCTAGGAGAAACATTGTTCAAGTTCCTATGACTAAGTACTCTACTTTCCCTCACAGGTAATCAAAGTTTTGAATTTGATGTTTGTAATGTGTGTTAATGCTTGGAAGAATTGGTTTTGGATGATAAAAAGTCTTACTTGGTGATGAACTAAGATTTTGGGGGTTAATTTTCTTAGTATTTTGCAGTCATGTGTTGGATTTGTGATGGGTTAAGGATTGGTGTTATGGTACTTGTTACTTAGAATTCTGGTCTTATGAAACTGATGTTTGCATTGTGCACAAAAGTTGAATCTTGAATAGTGAGTGCCCTAATGATTAGAAGAATCAGTTTTTGTTAATCAGTAGGCAATGAGCTAAGATTGTGGGGAGGGGTTTAGTCTTCTTAGCATTGTGTTGGATGTGATGATTTTTGTTTGGTTTAAGGGTTGATTTATGGAAGTTGTTACTAAGAAGAATTCTGGTTTTATGAGATTGATCTTTGCGTTGTGCACAATCATTTTAGAAGAATCGGTTGGTTGATAGGCAATTGAGCTATGTTTTGGGAACAATTGGCGAGGGTTTATGTTTATGAATGTTTTGGTTATGTTTTTAGAGGGTTTGTTTGGTTTTTCTTTTATAGATCAGAGGGTGATTATGGAGCAGCCAAGGTGATGCTTAGACCGGCTTCACCAGGTACTGGTCTGATTGCTGGAGGAGCGGTCAGGATCGTGCTAGAGATGGCAGGAGTCGAGAATGCTTTGGGGAAACAGCTCGGAAGCAACAATGCGAGAGCCACTCTTGCGGCAGTGCAACAGATGAGACAGTTCCGCGATGTTGCTCAAGAGCGTGGAATCCCCATGGAAGAACTCTGCAAGTGAAAACTCAACTTCACTTTATCATTTTCACTCTTGTAGTGATGTAATTCTTGAGAAAAATATGTTTATTTTGAAATACCAAATCATCATATTTACCGTTTCTGTTTCTCATTAGAAACCCTTTTTGCCTGAATTAGTACAATTTCTCTTACTTTGTCTTCAGTCCACACTAGAATTTGCTAAAATAATATCAGAAAATGAAAGAAGTAAACGTGTTTATGAAAGAAGTAAACGTGTTTGTCACACAACCGCAACACACAACTCATGTACAACAAGAATCAGATTCAGACAGCTCAAAAAACGGAAGATTCTAAGCAAGCTTCCACCGTCGTCTTCACTTTCTCCAAGAGAACCACACTGGAAATGTGCAAATACCTGATCTTCTTCATCGCTTTTGACATTTCAGACTTGAATAGTCCTTCAAAGTCATGATGACTACTTCCAGATTCTCCGTCACTCCTCTTTCCCCTGTACCTACCATAACTAGCATGATCATTATTGATTGAAAATTTCAAATGCGGTAACAGCATCATCATCTCTCAGAGAAAAACATACGTGGTCTGGGAATCGAGACCCATTTGTATCTCCTTAGAGACAGATGTCAGAATTTTGGATGATTTCATGTCAACCAACAGTTTAATCTTCTTCTTCAGGTTTTGAAGACCCAAATTCATCCTCTCAACATCCCTGAAACATGAGACATCATAATTAATCAACTTAAGACAGAAACAAAGACATTAGCAACCTAATATAACATAATCGACATGAGACCTTCCCAAGCCTTCATCATCCTCATCTTTCCAAAGACTTTCTCTGGTTTTCTTCTCCATCAAGACCTGAAAATAAAAAGAAAAACACAAAGGTCAAAAGCTAATATGTAAAGCCTATTTGTTAAGTGTAGATAAAAGCCGTTTGAGTTTATGAGGCTAACATGAAGTCTCATTTGCTTTAAACAATCTCTGCTATTCTTCTCCGTAAAGTCAGACCTAGTTCTTAAGTGTAGATCAAATCAGTTTGAGTTTATGAAGCTTACATTATTATTCCTTTCTATATCTGACCCTTTGCTTATTGTCCCTTTCTGTCGCTTGCCATTACCAGAGATTCTCTGGATGTTGTAACTCGTGCTACCACCAGCTTTGGTCTTCAGGACTTCCGGGTTCTCACAGTTCCTTCCATGCTTAACTTTTCGTGGAGGCTCTTCCATCCTATCATCATCATCGTCATCATCATCATCACCGTCATCATCATCGTCTGGATTGTTGTAATACGCGGCAATCACGGGTTGAGGAGGAACTGGAGGTTTAAAATATTGCATTGTGTACAATGCTCTGTCTGCGTGGTTGTTTAAAATGTATCGGTGGAGTATCCAGACCGAGCCATTGGCAATAGGATGTAGCGGTCTATAGATCCGTCGTACAATGCGTCCCATTACATATGCAGAAGTACCTGGTCTCCATACATCTGGATCTGGGGTAAACATTCCCACAAAAAGCCAAATGGTAAAATCTTCCCTGGGTTCCAGATTCGTGTCAAAATGGTCTTGTAGATTCCATGGACCAACCGTAAGGATATCCGTATCGTGGGACAAATCAACTATTCCAGGATTGGCATTACCATTAAGAAGTAAACTAGTTACTTTTGGCAACACGTATCGTTCCAGTTCACCGTGTGAATAGACATCAAGGAAGGAGTGTGGGGTCGGCACATCAACGTCATGATCGGCTCGCTGTTCATGAGCCACACTGCAGTAGCGATTTCCGTCAAGAAATATTTGCCGGCAGGACCAAAGTGCACACTGATGGTCTATATATTGGGAAACTACGTTATTGTTACCAAGATCTTCCATCCTGCAAAAAAGAATCAAAGCCATCAATACACATCACCAAACAAACATATTTCACCAAATCCATCAATACACATGACCATACAAACGAATTAAACCAAATTGAAACCCTAACTTCTGAAGATATTCGGTGATGATACGAAACTAACCAAAACGGTATACTATACACGAGATCTTTATTAAAAACCCTAAATTCAAAGAAAGGAGAATCCGGAAGCCTAAATTCAAACCCTAATTCTGAAGATAATCAGTGATTATACGAAATAAACCAACGGGATCACCATCAAAACCCTACATTTAAACCCTAATGTCATAAACAAATTCATCTTTACAAAAACCCTAAATTCAAAGAAAGGAGAAAACGATCTAGGTTCGAAATCGCAAATTAAAAGGTGAAAGATCACCTAAGAAAATAATTCTTACAAGATACCCACCAAGTGTTCGACCAAATTCGTGAGAGAGATTCAAACAAAAACTAACGAATTTCTCAAAATTTGCTGCGACGATTCACTAAATTCGTAAACAGAACTCGCGAGCATCATTATCGATCACAAGTAATGAAGAGATTCGCTAGAAAGTACCTGAATCTTTGATTATCTTCTTCGCTGCTTCTTCTTTTTTTGCTTTCTCTGCAAATTCCTTCTCTTTTTCTGTTTTTTTTCTGTAGAACACGGTAGATCTCCTTGGAGAGCAAGTTACTAAACGCAGGGTTTTAAGAAACAATAGTTGGATCTTTATTTTGCAGTTTCTTCAAATTTGACCCCATAGTTTTTAATATCGTGTATAAGGTACCCCTTGTATTATTGTGTACATTCTTCTAAATTTAAGTTTTGGCCCTTTAACTTTCATGAATCTTCAATTTTTGTTAATACAACTATTTTCTAGCTGGATGATACGAAGTATGGGTTTTGTTGCTTTTACGTTAGGTTGTTTTGGTGATTTTCCTTTTTTTAAATTAAGATTAAGGTTAATGGTTTTTTTTTTCCTTTCTAATTAAGGTTTAAGATACTTTAATAAGGTATCTTGAAGATGATCAAGAAACACAGACAAGCTAACATCATCTGTGAAAACATTACTCTCCCCGGAAAGAGGAGCTTCACCATCAGAAGGATTCAGTTTTGCTAGAAGAAAACGAGCCTGCAAAAATACACAGCAAGAGAAAGAATCAAAACAACAATAATAAGCGTTCTATGTCAACGGAAAATGGAGGCATGAGCAAAGAAGGAGAGGTACCTGTGAACCATACTGATAGCATATGACAAGACGCGGAGTGGGAAACCGTTCACTGACGATTGTATCTGCATAGTCACGAGGTGATTGCAACAGATGCTCAAATGCCTTGCACAAAGAAGACAAGTTGTATAAAGATCAAACTCTAGATGACAACTTTTGTCATCTATGTTTTAAGATGATGGATGATAATACCTGGTGTTCAGGTTGATTATGGTATCCAGCTTTTCGCCATTGGGCAATGGTAGAACCGTGAAATATTACAAGAGTTAAGTATGAATCCAACAGTAGGATTCTGTCAGCTGCAATGGATGCTACATCCAGGAGAATTGGTTCTGCCGGTGAATGGAATGAGAAAGAAATCAGTGAAGGTTGAATCATCACGATTGAATTAGAAACGTTCTCTCTGTACAATATCATTCGAAAATATGCTGTCTCGTCTGGGCTGTTGTTAAAGACCTACAAAGGGGAAAGCCAAATGAGCTCAAAAAGATAAAATTGAGCGTTAAAAGTAATTTCAGTCTCTCATGCATTTATGGGCAGTGGGAACAGATTACCTGGACAAACTGAGATCGGCGCAAGTGAAATACAAACTGCGGGAAAATTGATAACTGAGACGACAAGTTAAACGAAGAAGGATTGCCTTTTTGGTAATCTCCAAACCAGGTACATAGATTTATCAAAGCTTTATCGACCCACCTTTGGGGATTAAACTCAGGCTGCAAAAGAAGATGTAAGAAACGTAAGAAACACTACAACACAGAATCTGGCAGATATTGAGCTTAGGAAATCTAACTAGCTCTCATCATCGAGTACCTGAGTCTACATTTTAAAAGAAATAAGCCGTGCCATGACTACAGCAGCTGCTTCTTGGTCGAAACCATTGCTCAACTCCTATACTTCACAAAGCAATTTCCAAGGAATAGTTAGAGACCATAGTTATATGCAGAGAAAAACAGGATCAGTCTAGCCATGTAAAAAAACCACTGACCAATTTTCAAACCTGGCTTCGAATGGATTACTACGAACATAAGATGAAATAAGTCATAAAGTTTCCACAATATAACTCGTGTGGCAACTCGTTTTTTATATATATTAGTACACCCACTAATCATATTGAAGTGGTAATAAAAATGTTGTCCTTAACGTTATAAGAACTCTTCCCCCACTTCATCCAATTTACTCCCTATTTAAGACAGTAGATTATCAACATATTACTTGAAACTTGCCTGTAAGCTTTCAGTTCCCATTACCCATCTTCTTGAAAAAGTTGTTACCCGGAGTCTTGTTTGACCATTTGAGTGCTAATAGCTGCAGAAACATGAGTATTGTAAGCAGAAAGCGTGTCAAGTTATTACATCCATAACTTGCAATAATAACCTAAGATGGAAAACTTGAAATCCCTTACTATGTTAAAAATTGAAAGTAAAACTGATTGCTCTGCGACTGCAAAACAACATCAGCTGTATCCCTTTTAGCAATTTCAAAAACCAAACATATGGAAGTGTTTTTGTCAAGGCCACACATCTTCCATGCGCTTGTGTGTCCCTGACCGACGGCAGTGTCAGAGCACAACGGTCCTTTCTGCCAACCATCATCAGAACGTAAATGTACTGATCACAACAAGCTAAAGGAAGGATAGATACCTTAAAACTTTTATATGCTACCTTTTCGAGAGATGCGCAAGGGCCAATAATTCCCTGAACTTTGATATCCTTTGAGCAGTTAATTTCAAATATACCACGCTGAAGCTGAACATAGCAGACAAAAGATTGTTTATTTTCGATAAAGAAAACATACATGAAAGTTAGGTAAGCCATTACCATGAGGACAAGCCTAGATCATTTTCACCTGACTGACACACGCGTTTGAGAGAATCCCTAAATACTGAGTGGCCAAAACTTTCAGCAAGCACGACATATCCACCAGTCTGCTCAACTGCAACTTTGAGCTCAGCAATGCCTACCTAGAGATGCATATAATAAATTAAAAGCTAGCTGCAAAACAAAGACAGTACCAACAAATTTCTCCATACAATCACCTGATCAACAGAACTTGCGAAAACATCAAGAACATGACCTTGATGAACAAGTTGTTTCGCAAGCATCTCATAGAATTCGACAGCTTTGTAGTAATACGTAGCAGAATCTTTATCAATGTCCTTATGAGAACGAATTGGATCCGAAAGCTCCCGGGAAACAATCTAGAAAAAGACAATGAAAGAGCATCAGCTAGCACAGAGTTTCCACCGACGGATATGACTAACAAGAGAAAAGACTTACAGCTCCAGGTCCTTCAGTGGAAGGTCCACCAATAAAAGCCATGATTCTAGCAGCAGAGCCAGGAAAGCAAGCTCCTAAGAGACCAGCAGAGATTCGGAGAGCAACACCAGTGCATCTCGCAGGGCGGTGATCAGCTGCAACGGGCCAGGGATTGTTTCCCAGCTCCTCAAGAACCTAAACCAGGAAACAAAACAGAAGTTAACTAATGAACACAATGTTGAATATATAAAGAGAAGATAAGTTACAAAGCAATGAATTTACGAACAGAGTGAAGAGTAAACTGGCAATCGGAGACCGGTAACAGAAACCGTGCAATGTCGTCGGAAGAGAGACCATCTCTAGCACCAGCAATGACACCTGAAGAAGGTTTAGGGTTCTTGACGAAGAAACTCAGCTGATCCAAGAGCTGATCTTTGGTACAGTCTTTGTTTCCATGGAAAATGTAAGATTTGGTGCAGTGTGAGAATCCAAGCTCGTAAACACGAACTAATGAATCAAAGGTAATGAGACCGACGATGGAGGTATCAGGAAGAAGATCCAAAGCTTGAAAGAGAGATAATTTGAGGAAATCAAGCAAGTATCAACGACGAAGAGGAAAACAGGAGGAGAAGGAGAAGAGAAGGAATCACAAAGATACTCAACAGTTGTGGAATGAGGAAAAAGCTCCGGCGGGAGATTGTTATCAGCGATTGAAGAGTAATTACGCGGGAAAGGATTCCTATTGAAGCAGAAAGGACAACCCCAAATACAAGCGGAGAAATCAACGACGGAGTAAGGGTTTAGAAAGGAGCGACAAGTCCGGCAACGGAGAGGAGAGTAAGGAAGGAGAAGAGAATGATCGGTGAAAGATCTAACAGGTTTCAGAGGTGTGTATACTGAAGTTTCAACTTGCAAAATTTGGATGTCATATCAAGAATTAACAATACCTCTCAGTGAAGTCTTTGTCCAACTCTGAGAAGTCCTCCCCCAATCTGTCTGATGGCTGGCAGGTCACAATCTTGTACCCGCACAAGCTGTTTGTGGCATTTGGAACCTATATATGTTAAACATAATCAGATAAGTATAACAAGGAAGAAAGAAAGAAAAAGAACGGGATAAATCACAAAATAAGATTGTTGGTAACCTTGTGAGCAAGGTGAAGAAACGCATACAACAAACACTCCACGTATGTGAAGTTCATTTCCTCTCCAGTCTTTCTGGCTGGCAGGCATGCATATCTAAAAAATAAAGAGTGTGACAATCTTCATAAGATCGCATGTAAAGCTTTTACATTCAAAAGTGCAAGGCTGCAGTAGGATATACAATATAAGCAATAATGACCACAAACTAATTCTCAAAGGAATCATGACACACACTGGCACTTAAAAGAGGTACCTTTAAAAGCTGCATGATTGAAGGAAGCAGCTGCCTTGCTTCCTGAGCAGTTGTGTATGGAGAAATATCAGAAAGAGCAAATCAAGTTTCCTCTCTTCTGGGAGCTAGGTAAATAAAAAGAATTTGATGTTATTATGGTGGCCAAGAAAGCTCCTATTTTGGAGTGATACGGATATTTACATGCAAGAAGGCAAAAGAGAAATAAGCAGAAATACCTACAAGTCTGGATTAAATAAACGTTACAAGAAACTAGCATTTTACTTCACAAGTGCCGTAAACTATTCTTAATTATGTCTAAGAGAGTATGATAACAGATGCCCAAAAGGGCACGCATGGATCATGTGCTGATATAAACACAAGTATGAAATTACAAAGCTATAAAATTCACGATACCTTGTCAAAAACAGGTATGATATGTTTGTTCAAATAGTTAAGAAACCTGCTGCTTGGAGCACCTCTCTGTTCATAGGAGAACGAATTTAGTAAGATAACCAGTCAAGTTTATAGAATGGACTCTATCCAGCTACTAGCAGCACTTTTTCCAACTTCGTACCGCAAAAAAGGGAAGAGCCAGTTGCAGGCATGATATCAACCTGTCAATATGGTCTGTATCTGAAACCTGGGAAAAAACAATAGTTATT